AACTTTCCCATTTAATGCATTTTTTAATTGGTCCAATCACGTTTGGACAGCTAACATCAAGTTGATCTTTCCAAAAAAGAAAATGGGTTGTCAGTCCCTAGGTGTATTTTTGCTAATTGGTGTGGCTGCCTCTTTATGCGTCCAGTACCACATTTTACTTTCTACACCCACATATTTAACACACTTATTTGTCTTAAAATTCAATATAAATCAATATGATCTCTAAAAATATTATGTAAATTATTATGAACTTGTAATTATTTGAACTTTTATCTTCTACCTTAAATTCACCAAAATACTAAAGGTATATAATAAATTTACTTAAATTCACCTAGTCCGCCTAGATCACAAGCGAAGAAGAAAGAAAATAGGACCGTTTTTAACAATTGGTATATGTTTTGTGTTTTTTTTTTGTTAAATGCGTAGTTTAGAAATAAAAAATATGGAGAGATTTTTCAAGCCAAAGACAATAGCACCATCTATTTGTTCATTGAGAAAGATAGTTGAGTGACTTAATTAGTTATTTATATTGAGAAATATGTTTTTTTATGTACTGGTAATGAAGCTATCATAGAACATTTTCATACTATGAAACCCCATTGTGGACGCTCAAATTAGGATTTTATAACTTGTAATGTTGTTTTGCGTATGATTTTTGAATGAAATGTATTATATTTAACTTTTCATTGTTAATGTTGTTTATAAAAAATTTTACCTTTCTTAATGGGACCCCCCAAATTTAAAATCCTGGATCCGCCACTGTCTCCAAGCAAAACTCTTTGAAATTTCAACCTTTCATAAATAGTCTTCATACATTTTTTTAAAGCAAATAATTCAATTCCCATGTTAATTAACTTTAAGCTAAGTGTTAAATCAGCATATTGTCTAGCTTTATGAGCACAGGGAAGATTTTCTTAATCATGACCTTATTGTTCACAAAAATGAAAGTCCCCACCTTTGGATTTGGATTCCCTTCAGATCCTCATTATGAAGATCGTAGGAATCAATCAATCCTAACCGCTCACCACATCACATCTTCTGGTCAGAAATTATTTGAATTTTTGATTCTTTCTACATGGCATAATGGTTTTTAGCCGCAAGATGTGTGGTGAGCGGTTAGAATTGATTGATCTCTAAGATCCTCACAATGAGATTCTGAAGGGAATCCAAATCCCCCCACCTTTTCACTTTTCACGGAATTAAGCTAATGAGATTAAGTAAAAAGTTAAGCTTTTTCTAGTCATTAATCCAAGGATGATTTACAAAAACAAAGACAAAAAGGACTTGAATGTTTTGAAGGCTTTTATCCAAAATGGTCTTTGAGATTGACATAACTTTTGACTTTGGTTTATGAGATTCAAAATTAATAGAAGTGGTCCCTGAAATTGTTACGGTCAATCATTTTGGTCATTTTGTGAGAAATCTCCATTAAATTGAGGATGTTTTTGTCAAATCGACCCTTCTCTTTAAACTCATGATTTCTTCAACTTAACAGAGATTTTTCACACAAAACCAAAATGATTGACGGTGGACAATTTCAAGGACCACTTGTATCGATTTTAAATCTCAGGGACAAAATTGAGGAATTATAACAATCTCATGAACCATTTTATACACATTTCAAATTTGTACAACACTTACACATTTCAAATTTTGTCAACAACGCTTATCATCTTAGTACGGATATGTACCTGCAGATTTCTTGAGCTTCAATAAAACGGATATGTACTGTGTATTCAACAAAAGTGACTTTTTTTTTTTGTTGGACTGCACCAAAACAGACTTTGAATATGTTTTTAAGTTACCATATTTCTGTATATATTGACCAAAATTAAATTATTCCTCGTTTTTCTTCTAGAATATAAGCTCATCCAAATCATGCATAGAGATAGACATAGAGATAGAATCTTTTGGCGGTAAGCTTTGTCCACACATAGCGTTTGAAAATAGATGAATTAACTTTCAGCCTACGTAACACACCAGAAAAAGTCAATTACGTACCAACCAACTATAATCCATTAAATGGTACCGTTATAAATACATCTCTTCCCCACCCAAATACATCACAAAGCAAATATTTCACAAAGAGAATAAAACTAGTCTAAATAAATTCAAAGGCAATCTGCTAGGATGTCATCTGAATGTGAAGGAAAGGATTCATGGCCGGAGCTCGTGGGAGCCAAGGGGAAGGATGCCGAGGCTATAATCGAGAGCGAGAATCGTTTAGTCAATGCTGTGATCGTGAAAAAAGGATCGTTTGTCACTATGGATTATCGATGTGATAGAGTTTGGGTTTGGGTCGATAAAAATGGAATTGTCACCGAGATCCCTGTAATTGGTTAATTCATATATGCGATGTTAATTATGTGAACATAATGTAATAAGAAGTTGTATCCATCTCCATGCATCAGTATTATATTGATAATAATAAATTATTTCCCTTTCTGCATCTATGTTATATGGTTCGATAAAGTTGGCAGTTCGTTATTCTTCTTCTCTGTACCCTTTGTTTTGTTCCACCCCCAAAGCAAGTAGCTCATGGCTTGTTAAGCTCCGATGTTGACCACTAATTCCATTGTGGTGAGATTGGTCCATTTGACAAAGTGAGTATATGAAATAGGTTTGTAGTTGTAGTCAGTTAAAAATAGACTTACTTTTTGCAATGTCTGTGAAACTCAATTTCAATTTTACTTTGCTATCCGAAACTTAATTTGCATCACTTGATTTTCCAAAGTTAATTTTTTAATCACTTTGACATTTTTCATCAATTTTGTAAAAAAATCAGTGAAGTCTTACCTGGCACAAATGGGCCCCCCACATGGTAGTGATATTGCATCAATTTTTATATACACCGATTCCCTAATGTAAGGGAGGGGATTTAACCTAAGCCCATATAGGCCACCATATTTGAAAATTAGATATCGAATTCACGAGTTGAACTCAATATCTTTTGGGGTGTGCTATCTATACACCTTATTTTACTTCTCACACATTCCTTGATAATTTTTATCTGTTGATCTTCTTCAATTCATCCGATCCGACGATCGAAAATTAAAAAGGTGTGTGAGAAGTAAAATAAGATGTGTGGATACCACACCCCTATCTTCTACTTAAAAATAGAGAGAAATATCATTACACCGTAGTGTTAGTAATAATGTCCTTACCATAAGTGAAATGTACTAGTGGAGTGGGTGTTCGTAAATTAACATGAAATTAACGGAATTGAAGATTTTAATATTCTAAATAAAATGACCTTTTTAATTGTAAGTTAACAGAATTGACTGCATTAGCTAATAGAGTAAGAGACATGGACCAAATTAATCAAATTGAAAACACGAGGACTAAATTGATTGAACATGTAAAATGCAAGAACCATCTTGATAATTTAAGCCTATGCGTTTTAGGAAAATTAGTTATAATAAAAGAATTCAAAGTTTGGTTGTGGAAATAGAAAGAAAGATACGAAAGACGTATATGATGGGGGCAGGAGGATGAAAATGTCTAAACTACTCATATATAAATATAGTATTGAGATTGCATAGATATTGATACGAATATAATATTGATAGTGTAGATATTGTTTATACGATGCCAATATGATAGCTATATTACCTAAATATAGGCATTATTATTGATATATTTTGGATACACATTATTTTCACGTAATATTGTTGATAATCACTGTAGATAGTTGCCAATAGGGAGTTGTTATGTCGGCGATATGTCGTGGGTATTTCTCTCAAATTCTCCTTCGCACCTTCGTCTTTTTCAGTTACATCTCTATAGATTTCTCAAGCACCTCCTAGCTTTCATTGTCTTCCATGGTTACCAAGAACGAATATCCTTATCCAATTTCAGATTAACATAATGTAAAACTAAAAGATGACAAAGTGAATTAATTAGTGAATCTAGTACAAATCGAATCACAAGATGAAGATGAAGATGAAGATGAAAATAGCGTGGAACAAACTCAGTTTCCAATGTCTAAAATTTCTTATACCAGCAACGAGCTTAAGACTTCCTATTTCGGCACCGCCCGGCTGTTCAGTTTTAAATGCAGCCAAACTCCCTATATTTGATGTCCAAATTTTGTCAACTATATCTATCATCAAAGGACGTACGTGTATCTAACAAACAAGTATTCATAAGCGGCGGTAAAGTTGACTTCGTCGTTATTCACAAATTGCACATTAAGTTGTCTTTATTTTTTACCAAATATACTTTCTTTATTTCAAACCAAAACTTTATATTCTTCATTTTGCTTCCACATGTTAAGGCCACCGATCGTGAACCATAAAAAGACCCTAAAGCGAATCTCGGATATGCCACCGATCATTTTGCTTCTGCATCAAATAATTTTATAATGCCAAAATGTAACGTATTAGGGTTTAAAATAGGGAGTTTTAACGAAACACTCTCGGTACTGTTCACTTTAACGAAAAATGACATTTTTACTCTAAAAAGTCACTTCTGGTACTATTCACTTACAACACATTTTTGTCATTTTCATTAAAACTCAAAGTTTTCAAACCCTTTTCATTAGTTTTCCTTTTAAAATATCGATACAGTTGGAAATATCAATGTGCAAATTTCTAAAAAATATCAATGGAATTATCGTTATTGGTTGCCTTCGATGGAAATTATGAAAATTTGTAATGAGAGTATATCAACTCATTCAAATTTAATCGAAACTAGAGAAATTTGCTCAAAAAAATTCAAAAGTTCAAAATCTGCAATGTGTTTTGGCAACATTAATTTCTGTATGAATAGGTAAATATCGTTGAGATTCATTGATCTTCCTATATTTTGTCGATATTGGGTGAAGTTTGCATTTCACCCAGTTTCCATATCGATCCTTAAATTTTCGGATATTTCGACGAAAATACTGAACATTTCATGAATATTTCAAACTCTGATACGTATACAAAGCAGAGTTTCTAACTAACATCCACATGTATAGTCAATAATGACGACAAACTGTAAGCTATCCAGTTGTATATGCACTTCTATAAATATGCATCTATATCTTCCTCTTCCTTAAGCCAATACATCACAAACAATATATCTTACAAGAGAGATCAGACAAGTACTCAAACGAAAAGCGAGCGAGGATGGCATCTGAGCAATGTGAGGGCAGTGAAGGTATGTAATGAACAAGTTTATGTTTAATATATAGAGTGCGCGCGCGCGCATGTAATTAGTACAATTGATTGCAGTCTAATTACTTAATTCATATTAAAATAATGCAGGTAAGTATGTATGGCCTGAGCTGTTGGGATCCAAGGGTACCGTTGCGAAGGCAACAATTAAGAGGGAGAATTCCACTGTCAAGGTTGAGATCGTGGTAGAAGGAACCATTGTACCAGCAGATTTGCGATGTGTAGCTGATAGGGTTCGTGTTTGGGTCGATACAGATGGCTTTGTTACTAGGGTGCCTATCATTGGTTAACTTAATTATATCCAAATATATATTGGGTTCTTGTAATCCTATGTCTGTACTTTCTCTAATGCAAATAAGGAGTCGTAGTATTCTCCATGCATTGAAACTTTCTTCCGTGTACTCCTATATGAAGCTCAATATGTAGGATTCAAGTTGTTTTGGTATCCTCATTTGTTTTTCTCTCTGTCCAACTACATCAAAGTATAGATTAAGAAAATATATTCGGATGTTCACGTCATCCTTACATGCACACACACTCCCACATTGCCATCGAGTCCTCAAATATAATACACTTACCAAATATTACAACTGAAGATTTCTCAAACGAACCCATCTCTTGATTTTCAAACAAACCAACACGAGTTAGTTGAAAATCAAATTAAAAAACAAAGTACAAAATTATGAGCATGTTTGAAATTGCTTTTGAAAGATGTGCTTGATTATCTTCAAATTTGACCGACCCAATTAATTTCAATCGAGTCACGTAGACATCTCTCAAGTAATTTCGTCTTCGCTTGAATCTGAATGAATTATGAACGATTTGGGTTGGACCTATGGTTAATGTATTGTAGAGCTAAACCCTAAATAATTTGGATCTCTATATTTTCTATATTTTTTTGTGAATGTAGCTAAATAATTTAGTAATTCAATAGGTCTTAAAAATCCAAGCAAATCCTTAATTATTTCACCTTCGTAGGATCAGGCCCTATATCGATAATCGTGTGGATATATAGCATGCTGAATTGAACAATTAGATAAAAAAAAATCCATTTGTTTTGCATGAAAGTGTTTTCCAACGACATTAAAACATAACACTTGGCAAGTGCCAGCTGAATTTGGTCCAATATTTCGGAATTGGATCTCCTCTGGATCCAGTCATGTTGAGCCCACTAATCAATGCATTTGGACCATTGAAATTTGATCCAACGATTACAATTATTATAATTTTTAGAAGGACTCCTTGTTTATATCCGTTGAATCAAATTTCAATAGTCTAAATGCATGCTCAACATGATTGGAACCAGAGGGGATCCAGTTCCGGCCCGTAATGCATTCAAATATTGCTTTTATTAATGACTTAGGTTACCATATTACTGAGGATTTGACGACTAAACAGTGTCCACCCATTTAATCTAGCTTTCATCCCGTTAACTTTTTAATAAAACTAAACAAAATAGTCAATTAATATTACAGTTTAGTAATATTTATTTTCATTTATAAATGAGAGGTCTTATGTTCGATTCTTGCTAAAGACGAATTTGAACCACATTATTGCTAGCACATTATAAAGTTTAGTTCACTTCCCTATGCTCTTAGTGTAAATAATATTGTTTGGCTCAAATAAAAAAAAGAAAAAAAGAAAAAAAGAGTAGACGAAATAAAAGTTCAAAAACTAGCAGCCACTGTGTTACCACCCACACTAAAATCGGCAGTCCCCGCCGCCAGCAACATGGTCACCCACGTCAGCGGCTATCCCTACTCTTACTTGCCGTCGCCAAAAGCCGCCTCCATCTACACTTTATAAGTTTTAACGTTGCAGAAGGTTGCAATTAAGTAGCTCAAAGGATTTTTGGGCCTTTTAATGTTAGGTACCATTTACTTCGACTAGGGCTTCGTTTCCATGGAATGTACACACTGGCGCATGTTTCGGATAAATACTAAGATTACATTACATCAACCCTTCCTTTATAGTGATAGATCCGTACTCAAACTCAGAGCCTGTTACGGCGGCACCCTACTGCTTTTAGGGTTCATTTCATTTGTTTATACAGAGAAATGACGGTCGAGAAAAAACATAGAAAAAGTCTGTCATGCTCTACCGTATTTCTCTACATAAACAAATGCATTGGATCCGTGATATTCATATTTATGCAATCTCTTTTCTTTTATTTCCAGTTGCTAATTTGTTCTACACTTGTCTTTCTGTGTAGACAATCTAAGTGAGTAGAAATTTTAGTTATAAATTGTATTTAGATGTTTTTTGCATATGTGTCCAGACCAGCTGTGTTCGTGTATATTTATGTGTCCAGACTTGCTCATATTTTGATCTTTTATGATTTAATTTTCGCAGGTTTTGAGTTATTTCATCTTATTAAATCTCTTAAATATTAAAAGGTCAATGCTCCCAAGTGACATGTTTGATCCAAGTGGTGGGGATTTAATGGCAACTTGGTGTTGGGTTCTTACTGTGTCCATACGGAATTTGAAGATAAAATTATGGGCTGTATATGATATGATATTGGGTTTTGACCATGACTATTAGTTGGTAGTGTTATCAAATGTGTTGACACATGTAAATTTAAAATGTTAATGATATTGGTTTTTTGGCTCTCGGTTGTTCATGTGCTACTTGCATTGGTAATATGAGCAGTCTTGCTAATTGATGCTAGCGAAATTGGGCATGACATAAACTAGTAGAATCAGTGAATAAATATCCAGTTAAAAATAACCATTTGTTAGGATATTGTGATTAGTGGTTTGTTGATTTGCACTCGACTTGAAGAATTGTTAGGAAATTAATCTGATCCTCGATTCCCTCTAAAGAACAAGCACGAAACAATAGAGATGCAGTCGAAAAATACAAAAGTAAACCAATCACACAACATGAATGTATTAGATTTATTAAATATGAGCAACGTCTGAGGTTTGTTAGCTGAAAGATATTCGATACGAAAACAGATACAAGCGCTCAAGTGTTTCCTCACTATCATTCATAGTTAGGTTTTCTAAGTACTTATATAAGACTTTATTTGAGTTAGATGGATTAGAATAGCAATAAAATGAGGAATCATGTCACAAGTAAGAATCCAAAAGAACCAAGCTTGGGGCTAAAAGAATAACTATGCATCTGAATACTTAGCCTAAACTGATGAAGAAGACATTAGGGTTTTGGGCTAAGAGGGGCTAAAGTCTGAGGGGCCTAAAAGCAGCTTTTCACATTCAAATGATGGTGTCACAAAATTGTTTAGTTATCTAATTGTTATCTAATAAATAGACGAACTATGTTCCTCATGTACAACATTAATCGAATAGTAAGAATTTTTAATTTGGTTGATATTTTTCTTAGTTCATCTTTATAGGATGAACTAAAAAGTGAATGATTGCGATTATCAAACAACATTGCGAGATGAGTAAAAGAGCCGAGAAGGTTCATTTGAGAAGATTGCTAGCATCCCACTATTTTTTTGGCCTGCAACAAAATTAAATTGACTTTTTTTTTAAGAAAAATTAAATTGACTTTGAATATATTGTTGAATTGAAACAGTTTTGTCTTTGGTAACTACTATTGACCAAAATTTTATCATTCCTCGTTTTGCAAGTACATGCATGCTCATCCGGATCGAAAAGATAGACTACACAATCTTGGCGGTATGGTTTGTTCACACATTACGTTTGAAAACAATTCATATTAACGTTCGGCCTACGCAACACCAGAGTCAGTAACAACCAACTACTATCCATTAAATGATACCAATATAAATACACATTTCTTCCCCACCCAAATACATCACAAAGCAATACTGCACACAGCGAGCAAAACTAGTACTCTAGATAAAACAAAGGCGATCTGCTAGGATGTCATCTGAATGTGAAGGGAAGGATTCATGGCCTGAGCTCGTTGGAGCCAAGGGGACAGAGGCGGAGGCGACCATCGAGAGTGAGAATCATTTAGTCAATGCTGTGATTGTGAAAGAAGGAATGTTTGTCACTGCAGATTTTCGATGTGATAGGGTTCGAGTTTGGGTCAATAAACGTGGTATTGTTACCAGGGTCCCTGTAATTGGTTAATTCATACATGCAAGGATAGGTGAAACAATGAAATAAGGAGTTGAACTAATAATCTCCATGCATCAATTGTATTGAAAATAAAAATTATATTTCTGTTTTTCTGTATGACATATATATATGTGTGTATGTGTGTGAAGCTAAATATATAGCAATGGTTTGTTAAAGTTGACAGTACTTATTTTTGTTCTTCTCTTTACTTCTTGTTTTTGTTCCAACCTCGGAGTAAAAGTGCACTTCCATTAGTACTGAGATTGGTACTCACAATAAATATTATGACGTCAAATTTTTGTATACACATGACTGCTTTAGTAAGTTACCAGCTCTACAATTTTCTTTTATAATTTGGAAGACTGCTTCTTTTCCAAATGATGAGGCGTTTTGCTGAGCTCTCAAATCATCCTTTTTTTTTTTCTTCGAATAACTTTCAAGTTAATTATAGGGTGGTGCTATTCATACACTAGCGTTTCATCTTTCACATACACCTTTTAATTATCGACTGTTGGATCGAATAAATTGAAGATGATCAAATAACATAAATTAACTAGGGGAGTGTAAAAGGTAAAAAAGGTGTGTGAACAACACCACCCTAATTATATACCAAAATCCTATAACAGGTTTAGTCAAATGCAGTTGTATGGCAATTGCTTTTAAATTTGAGAAAGTGCCACTAATTTATGAAGAAACAGTTGCCCAAAATTTATGAAGAAACAGTTGCAGATGTTTGGATTTTCAAATAAGGGGGTCATAATATCAACAAAAAAAACTTCATTGAGCCATTTCGCCGAACACCTAGTAGGCACCTGTTAATTCTTGCTAACATATGCTCAAAGCTTATGCCAATATATGTTGACAACTACTATTATTTGTAGAGGCTTGTCGAGGGTGGATGCAGGATATTGTGGAGTATTATTGAAGATTGCCAATGCTTATCAACTAAGGTATTTCATCGAGCATATGGTGCTCACAATAGAATTGCACACGGTGCTCACAATAGAATCGTACACAAGAAGGAGAAAAGGAAGACAAATATGATAGAAGAAAATAGAAGAAGTAGGAGACGGAGATTGTAATTTAGTGTGCCTTAGCTATTTATAGTGGTTAAATACAATTCACAAACAAATATACATGGGTTTTTGAAGTTTTTGAGGTCAAGGACAACCAATGACCCCATGCTGGCCCCAAGCTTATCAATCTACACTAAATTGTATAAATCTGCTCATGAATTGTTTTGGTCTGGATGTTGAAATACATTACAAAGTAAGCCTTACAAAAAGGGCGTCAAAATGTGAACTAAGCTATGAAAATGGTTGGAGGCAGCTAATGCCGTGAGGGAAAAGCTTCCCCATCTCAAATTTGGGCTTATGTTTGGAGAAAG